TTTTGTTTTCTTCCGCAATAGATATATATGATTTTTTCCCCGAATTCTAAAAGTAGATTCTCATGTTTTGGTTGGTTGAAAAGTTTACCCGCTGGAATGGAAAAAGTTTTTAGCGGTTAAAGTGTCAGTATCACGATAATGCCATTACTATGATATGCAGGTGTTCTTTCCCTTTTAATGGCGTTTTCTACGTTTTTGTGAACAATATTTAGGTTTAAATAGTGAGACAAGATATAAGTTGATGTAAGTTCTATTTTCTTATTTTGTTTCAGGTGTTAAAGATCTTCAAATCACTGGGTTTCTTGTGGTTGTGACAGTGAATGTATATTTGTTACATTTTCTAGCTGTTTTCAAGTTATCTGCTATATAAATTATGGTAATTCTTAAGTATTTGCAGTAAAAATCTGTTGATTACATGGGTCTGTGCTGTTAGAACTGTTGTTATCATGTAAACTTTTGATTTACAGAAAAAAATTGTTTGGAACTTGAATTCTCAGTCAATCTGTGCATAGATTTTCTGGGTTTTTTCTTTTTTAATTTGTTTTTTTTTCATTGTCACTTTCATATGTTTCGCACTCGAAAACCATAATCATGTTATTGATGAATTCACATAGCATTAATACATGTATAATTCTATGAACTGTCATTCGTTATCTTAGATTTTATGGCTTAGAGATATTTCTTTTGTCTAATACTTTGTTGCCCTTTCATTCACCAATAGGTCAGCAATTCACAGAAGTCCAATTCTTTAATCCTCTGAGCAAAATATTATCGAATTCTTCACATACTCTTCTGGGACTTTCTGATTTTTGTTGGACTTCGATTTCGGATTAAGCTTTCCTTGGCTTTTTCTGTTTTTTCTTTTCCTTCTGTTCTTGCATATCTCATTTCTTGACATCTCTGCTGTTCTTGAAGATCTGTGGTTTTGGAGATGGATTACAGGCTATAGTAATTTGGACATTTAGTGAATTTAGCTCTTGCTTCCCGCAGGTGATATTCTGGATACCTTTATTCGACAAGCTTAGATGAGTGTGGATGAAGCTGGTAGCAGATCCGAGTGGACTAGGGAGCAAGACAAGGCGTTTGAGAATGGCCTTGCAACTTATCCCGAGGACTCTTCAGATCGGTGGGGAAAAATTGCAGCCGATGTACCTGGAAAAACTTTGGAAGAGATTAAAGAACACTACAAGCTTCTAGAGGATGATATTAACGCGATTGAAGCAGGTTGTGTGCCTCTTCCGCCATATAATTCTTCCGAGAGTTCAGCCAGCCATGCTTGTGACGATGGAGCCAGTAAGAAGGGAACCAGCCAATTAGGGCATTATAATAGTGAGTCAAACCATGGGAGTAAAAATTCAAAGTCAGATCAAGAACGCCGTAAGGGAATTGCTTGGACAGAGGATGAACACAGGTGAATTACTTTTTCTGGTTTAAAATTCTTTGGCAGTTCTTACTTCCGCATACATTATAAATAGATTTCCTTCAAATAGTGGGATTCAAAAATCCAATGGACTTACTTTCTACCTTCTTTCCTGAACCTTGGAATCTCCTAAGCAGTTCGTATTTGCAATCCTTGATTTTTATTAGCTATTAGGAAGCTCTACATGGTTTTGAAGTCATTAATGTGTGTTACACTTGTGCCCTTTAGTCATATGTTTTGATTGCATTGGAATCACCTAACCTTTTCATATTTAGAATCCTTGACTTTTATTAGTTTTTAGGAAGCTCTATATGGTTTTGAAGTGCCGGTGTGTGTGAAGGGTCAATAAATGAATAATATATCCGGAATTGATGTGAAATAACCGAAGAGAACATTAAATTTCAATGTTACCACGTGGGGGAGAGATCTTTCTGTTGATTGGTCACTTTCTCCTTTCCAGAAAACTTGTGTCCTAAAAGATCATAACTACTATCTTTAAACGTTACTTGTATTGCATGTATGCCCTTTTGTCATATTTTTTGATTGCCTTGGAATGCATAACCTCTGTATTTAGAATCCTTGATTTTTATTAGTTGTTAGGAAGCTCTGTGTGGCTTTGAAGTCGTTGGAGTGTGTGAAAGGACTATAAATGAATAATATACCCGAAAAAGATGTGAAATAACCGAAGAGAACGTGGAATCTCGATGTCACCACATGGGAGAGATCTTTTTGGTGGTTGTTCATTTTCTCTTTTCCAGAAAACCCGTGTCCTAAAAGATCATAACTACTATCTTAGAACATTATTTGCATGTATGATACATGTGCTCTTTTGCTGTATGTTTTGATTGCCTTGGAATTGCGTAACCTGTCCGTATTTAGAATCCTTGATTTTTATTAGTTGTTTGGAATCTCTACGTGGCTTTGAAGACATCGGTGTGTGTGAGGAAAATGAAGGGATAATATATCTGGAAATGATGTGAAATAACCGAAGAGAACTTGGAATTTCAATGTCACTACATGTGAGAGATATTACTGCTGGTTCATTTTCTCTTTTCTGGAAAAATTGTGGCCTAAAAGATAATAATTACCATCCTTAAACGTCACATGTTTGACACTTATTCCCCTAATACACAGATTAATCGTTTAACCCTGTCTGACATGAGCTAATCTTTTTGAAAACCCCATATTAACCCTCCTTTTAAAGCTAGAGTCAGTATTTGAGGTATCGGTTGCTTTCTGCCGATATATGTAGTGCTATCTGAAGTTAATTTTGATATGGAAGGAAATGAATAGCTTGAGAAGGGTTATGATACAGTATGTGGATTTAGTCTGTTCAGCCATTTAAAGCTTGCCAATTTTGTCTCGTATTTATGATAATTTTCAATAGATATTAGAGATGTTGATTTCCTCCTCTTTCTCCCTTCATTTTTCGAAGTTTAGCATTAGTTGTAATCTTTTCTTTAGCAAGACAGCAAGCAGAAGAGGAAATATGAAAGACAATGGGGAAAGATAGAGAACAATCAAAGACAAACTGATTGTAAATCTTTAACTTATGGAGTACTTGTTATGGTATGGTGATGTCTTTACAATGGGCACTTGTGCTAGCAAAATGCTCATGGACTCTGGTTTTGTAAGACTGTTAAACGACTCTCCAGAGCCTCACCCTAGACTACGATCTTCTTTAGGAGTTGTTTGCCTGAAGCCTTGGGTCTGAAGTTAAAGCGAAGGTAGCCGATTCCCTTGAAGTTTTTATAGATACAGAAATTATTTGAAAGTATCGGATAGGAAGGAAGTGGTAGGTTCCGATGCTTTAATATGCTTCAATCGATGATCAGTAACGGATTGAGTAAGGCATGCATAAGAAATCTTCTATATTGTTTGCATTTACCGATATACGTTAGTGATATGCTTGAATAATCTCGAGTTGGTGCTTGAATAATCTCGATTCGGTGCTATGATTGTCAGTTTTCTTTTGAAGTGATTTGGCTTCTAAAATACTGCTGTAATTATGAACAGCTTGATATAACAATGAATTACTTGTGAGACTTTTGAACATTGAACTTGTCATCAGCATCTCCTACTACCTATGTTGCTCCGACCCTTTATTTTTTTCCTAAAGCACCTATATTTGATACTCGATTCCGTAATATCCATGCTCTGACCCCTCCATTTCAATGGTGTTTGTACTTACCCTATGAATGTGAGATGTATTTTTGATACTTAATTTGACCTATGAACTTGTCACATTATGATTTTAATGCTGCGTTTTATTTGTTTTTTAATCTTGAGAATCAGGTTATTTCTTCTTGGTTTGGATAAATACGGGAAAGGTGACTGGCGAAGCATATCCCGGAACTTTGTGGTCACAAGGACGCCAACCCAAGTCGCAAGTCATGCACAAAAGTATTTCATCAGATTGAACTCAATGAACAAAGATAGGAGGCGATCCAGCATCCATGATATTACCAGTGTTGGCAATGGAGACATTTCAGCACCCCAAGGTCCGATCACTGGTCAATCAAACGGCCCTGTAGCCTGATGTTCTGCTGGAAAACCAACCAAACAGCCTCCCGGACATCCTGCCACACCACCTGGTATTACCGTGCACGGTGTTCCAACTATAGGGCAACCAATAGGAGGTCCCCTCGTCTCAGCAGTTGGCACACCAGTGAATCTTCCTGCACTAGCACATATGGCTTATGGAGTCAGAGCGACTTTACCAGGAGCAGTGGTTCCGGGTGCACCTGTGACATATCCGATGCCGCATACATCCGCTCATAGGTAATGTGATGATGTCTAATTGCAAAATGTACAAAGGAAAGAAGACCATTTGCTTGTGCTGATAAGAATTGCTTAATTGCAAGCACAAGTTGTGTGTGTCATTTATTTAATCTTAATAAGGCAACAGGGAGAGAATTTAAATGTAATTTTATAGGGAAACTATGGAAAATGAAAATGTTAAATGTGGCAGATTTATGGTTAGGACAACATTTTGGCACCCTCTTTTATTAGCATTAGACTCGGTCGATGAATTATCTCTTAGGAATGGTACTCGGTTGTCATTGTATCAGTATCGTGTATCAAACGTTCTCTGTAATAGAGTTCTGAATGTCTCCCGTTTAATCAAAGAATTGTCCTTTGATAACCGATCTTGTATGTCGATAAATTTGTTAATGGTCAACATAGACTAAGGTATATTTTTCGTATTTGGACCGATCTTGTACCTCATTGCTAATAATACTTAAGTCCATTTTAGAGATGCATCCAGGAAACAGCATCAATCAACTGCAAGTATGCTGAAGATTCATGAGAAACAAAATCAGTCGATAAATTTTGAGATTCACACACAGCAATACCAATACCGCATAGGCACCAATAGATGAAACTCCTTCAAGCCAACCCAAACGAAACAGAAGCAGTTCTCGGGAGAGGAAAACATGTGATTTCCAACATCAAGAATGGGATATAACTCTTGTATTCAATAAAAAAAAATTCTAATAGCATGGAATAATTATAAGGTAATATCTGTCAAAATTTTCTTAATCAATTGACAACACATACCCTGTAGATGTCCCTGTAGGCATAGCTACTCAATGAGAGTTCTCAGCCATGAAGTATTTTCCTGAAATGAACTAAAGATGACAAACTAAACACAATTAACTATCGATTCGCCAAATTCAATGCCCAATACCGGAGAATTTTGAGAATAATCATCATCAATAAAATCTACTAGATCCATCTCTAGATGGATATGCGACGTGTCAATTGATACTCTACATGTTACTGGTTCATGTTCTCCAAATAAAAGAGCACAGTTATCATAAAAACCATCTTTTGGTGGTAGATTTAGCAAAGAAGATTTTGGAGCCGACACCGTTTGTTTGCTGCTAGTACTAGTAAAGTTTTCCCAGTCTTTAACCATCAATAACAAGCGATGTGGGCGACCTAGAAGCTCCGACACATATTTCATGTCACCTTCGGCTAGAGCACGTCGAACACGGGTAGACGATACTTGCCCCCTGTCTTTTAAATCGTAACGACTCATATTTCTAGCATCTTGGTGCCTGTCCATGACAGAAATTATAATGTAAGCACTCATACCAAACTCATCACACAATCTCATCAATTCTGAAGCATCACCAACAGCTTTATAACCAAAGCGATAGTTTTCACCTGTGACAATTAGCCATTAAAACAACCTATTTTAACTTAGATGAATTAATATTTCACAAGATAATTTCGAGAAAAATAGTATCTAAGAGATCATACAGCTTTTAGCATACCCACTACAACTCCACAAACTCCCAGCTCCTTTGCTAGCTTCTCCACAAACTCCGTCGGACTAAGATGCCTAACGCTCGTAAATTGAACCTGGAATTCCTTGGGAGCCACGTTACCACAATACGGAGCCCAAGTGGAAAGAACACGCTCACGATCACATCGGGCAACTATGGGAGGCCTGTTGAAAACCCATACTTGGCTTCATTAGGACCAAGTGAAAATAGCCAAAAGATTTAAAGCATTACACACATTATATGTATATGTAGATACAACAAGGGCGAACACATATGAGAATTTGAAATTTTCAGGGGAGCCACCCCCTCTGTCCGTCCCTGTGTAGATATATAAACTTTACCTAGGCTCCCAACCAAGGACTTCAGCCATTCCGACAAACGACAAAAGATATGGATTTCCAACCTTAGATGCTTGAATTGCAAGTTCTCTATGACCAATATGAAGAGCATCAAACTTTCCCAATGCAACAATCCCTCCTGATATATTAATGCCAACAAATAACATAAGAACACTAACACAAATATATACAATTATACATACACAAATATGCCAACAAATATATATATATATATGGTATAATAGAAGTTTAGAAGTAGAGAAACCTGCCACTGCGGATAATACTTCAGAAGGCCTCTCATGATTGTCTTCTTGTTGGCTTTACACAAAATAAAATCATTTAGTTGCCTAATTAGATTCTTGATACAAAAAACAGAGCTTTACACAATATTATAGTTAAAATCATTATACTACTGGAATTGGTTAAAGAAATAGGTCACAATGAATTGAACGATTTTTTAAAAAGCAATAATCAAGAAAACAGATGAAATAGGTAACATAATCGAATCTGAAAATGATAACAAATGTTACGGCTAAAAAGTATTCGGGAGGAAAGTAAAAAGAACCTGAAGGAGTTGGGGAGAAAAGGAATGTCGCTGGCGGATTTGGACTGAAGACTGGATGAAGAAACTAATCGGGGATGAAACCGATGATTACGAAAATTATTATCAACAAACGCGGCGGAGGCGGCGGAGGAGTGAGGAAGTTTAATCATGAAAGAAGAAGAGAGCTGCAAGATTCCGGTACAGAAAATTCCTAACCCCAAATTCTGATGAGAGAATCGAGAGCTGCTACAACACAACATTTTGTTCGAAATTTATCTTCTTCATCCACTGGAACTTGAACTACATCGTTCCTCCGAGAAGAAGAAGGCAGCGGGTAGGGCTTTTGCGGCTTTGCTCTTTACACCGTTATGCTATTTTTGGCGTTGGGGCCTACCCGCTTTTTTTCCTCGTATTTGTTCCTTTTATTAAATTTAAGGGTTAATGTACCTTTTGTCCCCTGAATTTGGTTTGATATGCAATTTGCCCCGACTTTGGCTTAGATATGCAATTTTCCCCTTATTATTTTTTACATTTTTGAAATAATGATTAAAGTTTTTATTTATAAATTAAAATTATCTAAGTTTTAAGATGTATATTTTAATATAATATAAATTTAGATATTTAATTAAGGATAAATCTATATTAAAAACTTAGGGGCTAATTTGCTTATGAAAGCCAAATTTAAAGTTCAATTGTAGGCTAAAAAATAAAAATGTGTATGAATTTGTTAAAAAAAATAAATATATGTATTAATTAATCGATTTAGTGGGATGAAGAACTAGATACTTTAAGTAAGGTTAGGAGTTCTAATTTTAATTTTTACAATTGAAGAAATTAAATTAGCATAGTTATCCTTGTCTTTACAGTACATATTTTAAATTAATCAATTAATAAATTGAATACTAATAATTATATAAATATATATATATAGTACATATTAAAGACATATATTAGTATGAGCACGAGTACAAAACGGGTAGCGAAGCACGTGTATAGGCAACGATAACGTCCGACTCCCGAATATGACCATGTGTCTTTGACACGTATCACATGCTTTTCTTCCATTTAGACAAAATTCGCATTTTTTATATATTTACAACCCTATATTCTCATTTGTTCCATTTTGATCCTTATCTATGCAATCTTTGAAAACTCTAAACGTCTTCTTACCACATTGAAAATCGAATTAATTAATTTTATTTAAATAAATTAGGAAGTTTATATAACAAACTTAAAATCATTGTGCATATCAAAATAGTACTGATCAATAAAATTCACGTTAAAAAAAGGGAGAGAAGAGAATATTTTATTTTATTTTATGGTAAAAAATTCATTCATATTAGTTATTTTTCGGTTGCAACCATGGAGATGAACTTGTGTTTTTCTGGCTTCTCAACAGCACCAAGTTCAAACTGAGTGCAAAACACAAGTCGACTAATATTTCTAGATCGATGTGGATCAAACTAAGTGCAAAGAACAAAGTTGTAAATTATTTCATGACATGGAAAAGGATTGCAATATATTGATTGTTTTCCTCCGGAACATAATCACTTGAATGCCAATCTTGTGGTTCAACGAACAAACCGATCACCTGTCTACTACGCAGGAGAGGAGATTGGCTCCTCTTCCGTGAAAAAGGGGATAGGTTTTGTTGGAGCAGGCAAGCGGCCGATGCTGTCAACTTTATCCTTCAGCTTTGGAGGAGGCCTGGCTGGTTTCGGCAGCAACCTGCCCTTCTTTTCGAACCACTCAGGTTTAAGCAGAGCTCTCAACCCTAATTTGTTATAGTGTACTCTCCTCACAGATCCACCGGCAGCTTCAACTGCTTCCTTTGCTCTAACAGTCACCCTCGACACCTGTAAATTTCAACAGTAAGACCAACCTTTTTCCCAGCGCGGATTAAAAAAAGGATATACATGGATAATGACAGATTCAAACTCTCAGAATCTAAAGGTTCTCGTTAACTGTCACTTCACCATCGTAGAACATCTTTTAACTAGCACTAGTACAACAGTACTGCAACTCTGGAAGGATCTGATGGTTAAAACTATGAAAAGATAATAGCAAATTAAGTTCCGATAATAGTCTAACCATAACTAATAAATACATTAGTTAATTATTCTAAACTGACACTAGTTAAATCCAAAAACAGCTAAGAAATTACCCTTTATCTATAGAATAGTCAAATCAGTAGTATAACAAGAACAGTTTCGGGAAAATCATTTACTTCGAGATGAATTGGCCACTTGATCTGTTCAGCACCGCGACCCATCAACCTTACCCCATCCTCGATCTGTTTCCCGATGGCCCCAGCATCCTACGTAACAGCAATAATCAGTGTGAACACTGCCCTTAAAAGGTGATTTAAATTTGGATATCAGAATAAGAGTTAATTCTACCTTGAGAGTCTTCATTGTGATCAATTCATGAGAATCAATCTTCCCAGCATTTATAAGTTTGGCTATCTTTCCCAATCCTACTGGCTGCCAGAATAGGAATACACAAGTAATTTCGCAAGTGCAGAAAAACAAAGAAAAACAAAACAAAAAGAAAGTTTTGAATACAATATTCTAATTCTACAAGAAGTAATAAAAAAGGAAATGATAACAAATTGTATACACATTTTCCCTTCCACATAAACATCAACACACGAATTAATTCTCAATTCCAGAAAATATATGTCTGGAAATTCTAACTTATTAATTCCTTTTAAAAGCTGGTGAAATAGAAACATCAGCAAAAAAATGTACAAAAATCTATACAAATATCACCCACAGCATAGCCAACTACAAGCATTCGATAAAATAAATACATGACTTTCCATCTTGTATAATACCATATCCGAGATCAAATGGTAAGAATTATAATAACACATTTCCTTTTAGATCTTCAAATAACACAAAAGAAACATAAGCTCGTTATATGATTTTACGAAAATGGAAACTGATGTCTCAATGTCCAGCAGCAATGACAGATCAAAACACAAAACGTGCAAGCTACAACTACATTCTATTTTGATTCCAGCTCACCACTAAAGTAATTCAAAGAGCAATTATTTCCGAGGTGCAGAGCAATAAATTATCAAGAGTAGAAATCCTGGTCTAGCTGGTTAGCTTTAATCTTTTCGCCGAATATTAACGGTGTACCAAGGAACAACCAGGAAGACAAGGTGTATGTGTGGACATAAGCATGTACCCCACTCGGGTAAGGTTAGATTTTTCTAAGTTTTTCCTTATATTTGAAGGATCCTAGAGGTCATATAGCCCGTATCGACGGACACAGGTACTTCAATGCAGTGTTTTGAAAATTGGACCGGCCGGTTCAACCGGGAACCGCTACCTGGTCCGATTCATTCTACCCCGGTTAAACCGCTACTAGTGAACCGGAAGGAACCGCTGAACCGGCTTTGAACCGTTCAAACTGGACCAGACCGTGAACCGGTTGAAAACTGGTAGAACCGGCTGAGAAACGGTAAAACCGGTGTGAACCGGCTGAAAACCGATTGAACCGCCGGTTCTTTTTTTTAAAAAAATTTAAACCAAATGAAGTCGTTTGTTAAACGAGCCAAGTCGAACTCGAGTATTGCTTAGCTCGACTCAAACTCAAAAATTTTAAAAGTAAACTCAATTCGACTCAAAAACTCACAAGCTAAAAATTATCAAGTTCAACTCAAACTCGAAATATAATATTGAAACTTGAACTTGAAAAGGCTCGAACTCAAAAAAAAATTAGAAGATCGATTGAAGCCTGAAATTCGAATTGAAGCGAAAGAATAGTTCACTCTGTGTTCACCAAAAGGCTCCATGATTTTGAATGCCAAATTACCTCTATTATTTATAGAAGTTAGTTGTGATGCTCTTCTATGTTTCTTAGCCATGTGGGATTGTTTTGTTCTCATATTTTTAATCTTTAGACTTTTGGGATGCTCTTTTATGTTTCTTAGCCATGTGGTATTGTTTTGTTCTCATATTTTTACTTTTTAGACTTTTGGAATGCTCTTCTATGTTTCTTAGCCATGTGGGATTGTGTTTTTTTTAAATTAAACCAAACGACATCGTTTGTTATAATTTTTTTCAGCCTCAAATTTATTTTTTGATTATAGTTATATAATTATATTTATTATTTAATATATTTTACCTTAAATATTATGTTGTAGTTGATTTGAATCATTTTGTTTCACTTGATTTTATGGTTTTTAACTTATATATGTTATGACTTGCTTTAAATATGACTTGTGATATATAAAACTTGTTTTTTATTAAATACTTTTGGTATTTTATTAACTTTTTAAATAATTATGACGTCGTCCGATTCTTCCGACCGGTCAGACCGGTCGGACCGTTTCCGCCGGTTGAACAAGTGAACCGGTAGCCCGGCCGGTTCTAAAAACCATGCTTCAATGAGAAAACAAAAGAAACCGAACAACATGAAATTTCAACATTTATATACAATGTTGTTTTCTATTGCATATGTTCATTAGCGCATTAATAATATCCAATTAGTCATAAGAAAGGGAGATTAAGTCACTATATAATTCGTATACATGCAACAACTTTCTACTTTCCCTAGCATTTTCGTTTCTATTCAATAATTATCCCCATATGCTCCTAAAAGAGAGAACTTAAAAGAACCAAACGAACATAATTCATTGGGGGAAATCAAGAAAACGGTACCTGAAAAGTGAGACTAAAAGGATTCTTAAAGCCGCGTTTAGGCAAACGCCGCCGCATCGGGGTCTGCCCTCCTTCGAATCCCAACTTGCCATTACCTCTAGCCTTCTGTCCTTTATGTCCTCTCCCTGCGGTCTTCCCTTTGCCGGACCCAATACCTCTCCCTTTCCTCGTTTTCTGTTTTCTGGGAACATTGTCTCTCAGATCGTTTAAGCTCAAGAGACTATAAGCTCTAATGCCCTGAAACCAAAATGACCCATTTTTGTTAATGGGGTCGGAGCATTGGAGGGATTGTAGGGAACGGAAATGGAGGTTTTGTGATGGACCGGAGATGGGTTTGGTGAGGAAGTGAGAACAAACAGAGGTTATTGAAGGGAGTCTTCTTCTTATCATTGCAAAAGATTTAGGGTTTTGGGAAATTCTGCTTAAAGCTCAGTGTTGGAAGAAGAGAAATCAATCTTGAGATTTTAGGGATTCTATTCGCTACTTTGTTCTCAGATTTGATCAAACGAAATGATACTGACACGTGTATAAGCATTTTAATCCGACAGTTACTCCTTTTTTGGGGAAATCTAATTTTAAAACGATTAATTATAAATATTTTAGATTTGCTTTGAAGTTATAATACATTATAAACAAAATTAGAATAGTTTAGGCGCCTAAAAAATAGTTAAAATATGACGTGACCTGTTAAATAAGTGATCGGTTAAAATTTAGATCGGTTATGTTATATTATTTAATCGAAAATATTATCAAGTACAATAATATATTAGGTAGCGCTTATATAATATAATATGTAGCGTTTATATTGACCTATTTTCTAACTAAACAGATATATTTAAACCGGTAACATTGTAAATTTACCTATTACATTATAATTATTGGTTTTGATGTTTTTGGGATTGATACAATTTTAAATGTATCGACAATTTATGCGTGCACCTCGTTGTGCTTTCATTTTGAGAAAAAAGTATCGACACATATTTAAATAGTGTCGATACATAATGTAAACCTATTTACTAATTAACCAGTATATTTTTACCGGTTATATTGTAAATTTACCTGTTTCTGGGTTTTTGTTATTTGAGAAACTGATAACATGGTGGGTTTCCTAATGTTATTCTTTTGTTACTGCAAATTTTTTGTTCTTTTCTTACTGGGTTTTACTTAAAATATCCAACTTTTTGTATTAAAAAATAAAAATTCTGAAATAAAAATGACCACACAAGCACATTTTTTACTATCGGTTTTGTCATTTCAAGACCGATTTTATTATATTTTTACCTGTTATATTGTTAAGGATCGATACATTTTTATAAAGTATCGACACTTTATTGACGCTATAACTTCTTTTCTTTTAAATTCCAAAAGTGTCGATACTCAACATATCCGATAGCTCTTTACTGGTTTTGTCATTTCAAGACCGGTTTTGTCATATTTTACCTGTTATATTGTTATGGATCGATATATTTTTATAAAGTATCGATATTTTATTAGCGCTATAACTTCTTCTCTTTTAAATTCCAAAAGTATCGATACTTATAATAAAGTATCGACACTATCAACATATCCAGTAGCGCTTTACATGTTTTGTCATTTATAGACCGATTTTGTCATTTTTTACCTGTTATATTGTTATGGATCGATACATTTTTATAAAGGATCGATACATTTTTATAAAGTATCGTCACTTTCAATATATCCGGTAGCGTTTTACCTGTTTTGTCATTTATAGACCGGTTTTGTCATTTTTTTTACCTGTTATATTGTTATGGAACGATACATTTTTAAAAGTATCGACACTTTCAATATCCGATAGCGTTTTACCTGTTTTGTCATTTATAGACCGGTTTTGCCATTTTTTTACCTGTTATATTGTTATGGATCAATATTTTTATAAAATATCGACACAAACCGACAAGCTAAGTTTGTCGGTTGCTAAATTTTTTAATATTTCTTTTTAATTTCCACCTATTACATTATTATCACTCGATATTTTCGGTAGCGCTAAATCGAATTTATCAAATATCTTTTAATATATCCGGTAACGCTGTATATTATCCGTATATTAGTCCGCCTTTCCTGAGACAATCTCGATTTTTTTAATCATTGAATTACGGAGACAATTATTCTAACAAATAAATTTAATTGATTTTATGGTAAAAATTAAAACTAAAATAATTGATTCGATATAATTAATTAAATAAATTGATAATATTTTTGTTTTTGAAATTTATTTATAAAATAAAAAACATTGTAAAAATTAAAAAAATGGATACAATTAATTAAACCATTTAATTGAGTTATTTCATATTTATATCTAAATTTATATTTAAATTTAAATTTAAATTAAACTAATAAAAACATAAATGTGTACTTTATTACTTAAAAAATTAATTATTTTATTCTATTAAAATTTTAAATTAAACTCGAATTAAATTAGTTATCAAAATCTAATTAGTTAATCGAATAAATTAAAAAAATTATTGCAATTTTGCTTTAAAAAAATATAAATAATAATTCTTAAGCCCAATCATCGTGCAGTGCCCCTATAGCTCAGTGGTAGAGCGTCAGTCTTGTAAACTGAAGGTCTGTAGTTCGATCCTGCATGTAGGCATTTTTTTAAAATATTAGATTCCGTTAATTTTTCTCACGTCTGTATCGTTCAACATATGGAGTTTACGAACAAGACTCGGATCTCCGACGACAACATTCATGATTCAGTTACGAATAACTAGGAAAATCAAAACACAACCAAGATGTTGAATTGTTAAAATGAGATATTTATAGTAGCAAGAGCTAAATGCATACGTAGAGGCGATGGATAACAACACAGAAACCGAGCACGTCTTAAATGATCAACTTACTGAAGCAGAAGAGAGGGACGACCGGACTAACAGATGCAACATGGAATACCTTGACAACACACAAACTATCATTTTAAATGCTAAGCAATGCTGGGCAGTAACGGAGAAACTAAATAATTTTCAAATACCATTAATGATTTGAAGTTTCAGACTCCAAATGTATAAGTCGAGCAATCCACAAGTTTTAATATTTAACTCGGTTGTCATTGCTAGATTTTCAATGCTAAAGCTACACCAGACAGCAGCAAAGAAACTAATCATCTTCAAACACTATTAGCAGCTCAAAGTATCAAATCCAAGTTAATGCATAAATCGAGCATATTCAGCAAGTTTAAGATTCAACCCATCATTGCTAGATTTGCAATGCCTATGGTAGCAGGGAAGAAACTAATACTTCTCAAACGCCATTCGCAGCTTGAAGTTTCAGACGCCAATTATGTTTAAGTCGAGCACGATCGACAAGTTTTAAGATTCAACTCGGTCGTCATTGCTAGATTTTCAATGCTAAAGCTACACCAGAGCAGCAAAGAAACTAATCATTTTCAAACACTATTAGCGGCACAAAGTATCAAATCCCAGTTATGCAGAAATCAAGCACATTCAGCAACTTCAAGATTCAACCCATCCTTGCTAGATTTCAATGCCTATGGTAGCAGGGAAGAAACGAATACTTCTCAAATGCCATTAGCAGCTCGAAGTTTCGGACCTCGATTATGCAAAAACCAAGCACAATCCATAACCCTTAAGATTCAGCTTACATTGCTAGATTATGAATAATGGAGGAACTTGAAAAGCATTTGAAATTCAAGTTTACAAACCTTATTTCAACATGGGAAAAAACATCACAATTCTGGAAATCCCCAAACTCAGCAGAAACCTCAAATCATTAAAACCCTATTTCTTAAAACCCTACTAAACCCTAATCAATCATGGGGTAGAAGTCTTAATACTAAGAGACCCAAATTGTCCTCAAAACCCTAATTCACTTGCACTAAAGTTCTGGCAAAAAATCAACTTACACATCCACACAAAGAAACTGCAACCATATACAAATATTGGTGCAATCTAATACACACACACACACACACCCAAACAACAAGGGTAATTGGTCTACCCAAATTCAATTCGGATCCTCGCCTCTCTGACTCGAACTTCCCGGAGTACCCGACAACGATGCTAACAAATTCAGATGACCCGGAAGATAATTGCCAACCCTCGCCGCCACATCCGACGATTCTCCCATAGCTTGCTGTTGTTGAACGAACATCGCGGCTGCAGTAGGTTGCTGAGCAGAGTCCGCAGCAGCGGCAGAAGCAGTCTGGACAACCATCTCCGGTGGGGGAGCGAAGCTCCATACTTGACCATACTCGGGCCTTGCTGGAAGAGCCCAGAACCCACCCATGTGTGTCCCCGCAGGTCCCAAAATGGACCCCATGTCTGGTCCCATCGTGATCGCCCCGGAATCGGTAAAGCCGGACCTGAACCGTTTCCCGAGTATAAAACCGGTGGGACCGAGTAAAGGCTTATGGTCCAAAGACGTCGTCGTCGACGGTAGAGAAGTTGAATTGCCCCGACCACGGAGGGAAGCCGACACGGTGGAGAAGTTGGCGGGAACCGTCCCGGTACCGGTGGCGGCTATAATGGCAGGCTCGGCTTGGTGTTGTAACAGCCACTCAATGGTCTGACCATCGGATTTGTGACCCAACTCACGAGTCACTGGAAAAACACGAGCCGCACAAATGATCGGCATCCTGATTCTCCGGCCACGACCGTCCACTTTGCTGTGACGGTCTTTGGTCGGAGGCTTTTTGACAGCGAGGGAACCATTGGCCGCGCTTGTGTCTTGTTCGCAGCAACATCATCTGAATTTGACATGGCGGGATTTTTATTTATTTTTCTCTGTAAATAATTTTAATTTACAAACGTATACTTTTTAATTAATTTTTCAATAAATAATTATAAATATAAAAATATTAAAGCTAGTTATGACATGATGGCCACACATTAAATTAAATTAGTAAGAGTAAAACAAAAGTGGTTAAGCTAAGGTCAAAAACTTTTCAATTAACTAATCTTACACTTTATTTAATAATCTCGGCGTAAATGATGTCATTTTTTGTTAACCAATTCTCAATCATAACTACAATACTACATCTCTCCTTATTATTATCCATATTATATATAAAAGAATAGACTTAATTAGTGCTCTAAGTCCATTTATATCAATTTAGTTAAATATTATTAAAATAATTTTATTTCAAAGAGTAATATATGTATTATACGAATATTTATATTTTGTAAATAAAATACTTAAAAATTCTCATTGTGAAATTTATTTTAAGAATATAATTTTTTTTTAACTATTTTCTTTCTGGTCTCTCTTTTATATTTATTCTTCTAATTTTCTTAAATATTTTTCATACAACAATCTTAAACTGATAAATTATCATTGATTTTTTTTCTTTCTTTCCTTTTTCTTTAGTATAAATTATGTTATTTTTTTGTTAATTACTCATCTCTTTTTCATGTAAAAATATAAATATTTTATTTGCTCATATAATGTCTTCTTTTCTTTTTAGTTAGAAATATTTTTATTTTTCTTTTTTTCTCACGATTAAATTTGACATAATCTCTTTATATTTTGATGACGTTTATTTTATTATCATACTAATTTATTATTACTTTGGACCGTCATATTTTATATTAATAAACACTTACAATCATCGATATATGATAAGATGATATACGTGTTGAGATGATGTTAGTTTATCAACAAACCATTATTTTTTTTACATATTTGTATATCAATGTTGATATTTATACTTCATAACCGACAACGATGTTTATTTGTATTACTTATTCATCTAAATTGTTTAACTAAATTTTAATCATTTTCTCATATGATTTTTTTTTTTTGCAATTTTAATGACTAATTTATTCACTTTGATAATTCTTAAAGAAATATTCCATTTATATAATTAATTTACTCTTCTTATAATTTTAACTATTTTCTCTATTTAATAAAGAGTATAATAACGAAAATTTCTTTTTATAGTGTGAAATACTTTACAGATTTAATATTACTAAAGAAAAATGTTGATTTTATAAAAATTCAAGAAAAATCATGATAATTACATTTTGTATACTAATTATCAAATTTAAAAATATATTTTTAAAAAAATTATCACACACACGTACATGTAGATTACAAGTTGATGGTGATGGTGATGGGGAACACAATCGAAGCCACAAAATAATTAGAATGTGAAACAAGTGGAGCATGGTCCACTTGGTTTTGGTACTATTAATGAGCGGGACCATGGGCATTGGCAGATCTCATCAGTAAATTCTATCTTTTCCTTTGCCGCCTTCAAGAAAATAAGATGCAATTAGCCATTAGGTACTACAATAATATCCTTATAATAGCAAAGATACTTTAATCCGATACTTCAAACTATTATATCCTCTCGAACCACGTAGAGAAGTTCGAATACATAACCTCAACTTATAACGATATCAATTGAACTAAAACTCAGTCAGCAGCAAAGAAAGGATTAGCACATTAATTGTTTACTTCAACAAAAGCCCTGAAAACCGAACTTTGGGAGAGAGCATAACAATGTCAATTGAACTAAAACTGAAACCAAATCGAACATCACAAAAGCTGTAAGGTACCATATCCTAGCCTAGCAGTAAAAATGAATTATTTAGCTCTCAGCAACTGAGACTAATCAGGGTCAAGACTTGGAAGACACTCAGAAAACATTTACCTTTCTCCATTATGTCTTGCGAACGATGCTTCAGAGCAGCGGCTTTATTTTCAAGTAGTAATAGTTTGCTGATGTAAAGGGAAGACAATGAGTAGAAATCAAATAATCTTATACAACAATGTATTGAAGATTAAATGTAACTTGTCTTGACAAAACAAAGCTGTTAAGTTTACGATGTATATAGTACTCGAGACCAAAACACTAATCTCAAATTCTCCATGTTTAACACATATCTCTCATACCCAAACTCTGCAAGTGGAATAGTGGATGTTTTATCATCATGTCACATGAAACAAATGTGGGTATTTTGTTGCATTTTAAGCTGCCAAAAATCAAATCCAAGTTAGAATGCCATTATACAACCACGACTCGGGTACATTAAAATTGACCATGTAAATGCAGGCAGAATAATAAACCTGGCATCATGAAAATGAATGTAGGTATTACTGCACCAGGCAAGCATGTGTGCCACCATAAGAAGAAACTACAAACTCCAATGGCCAGAATTAAGAGTCAATCAATTTCCATTCACTACTTCAACATTATTAAAAGTCGTTCAGATAATCAGATTAACATTTGACAGTGGCCACAGAATGAATTCAAGAAAAGGCTCATAGAGCATTGAAAGTGAACAATCAAAAGCTACTAGGCTACTAACCACTCTCAATATCCAAATGTTCACTACATTTCAGCCAGATTTTTCAAAAATAAAAATAAATAAAAAGCAGTCCAAAGAAAACATAAATGGTTAAGAAGCCCCAGTTTTACAAGTGTCTCCAGAAAGCTAACAATAGAGTAACATGTAAGACAACCAAGAGATCACACAACTTTCAGTACTACACAGGAGTTCCTTCCACAGAATATGATGTTAGTATAAACGGCAATTATATAATAAATTATGTTTCTAGATTTTTATTCCTTTACCCTGAAACCCTCACCACAATCATTTCTCTCACAACTTATTCACATGTTTTCCTTATTACCTAAATCAAAAGATAAAATAACTTCTACTCTTATGTTGGAACGTTGGAAGGAAACCTCAGTCAGATACCAAAATTCCAGAAGAAAATCACATGGTCCCATGGACTTTCTAGTTTCTACTTAAAAATATTGCTAAAAGCATATATTGCTTCAGTTACCCCATCTTTCTATGCTTCTGTGATTTTTACATCTATTAAGTTCAGAGATCATTATGCATACATGTGAAAGCTCCACTTTGGTATTCAACTAGTTCCTACCACCTCAACCCAGCAAGATCAGAACCAAGCCTTTCAAAGCTAACGTCTGTTGTATTCTTTGAAACTTATACCAACTATAAGTATAGAACATGAAAAATCCAGTTTTGACAAAAACTATTCAGAAAATATAGGCTAAAAATACTAAAAAACCACTTGAACCCTTCACTTCTTTCATTGCTAAATATGCCCCCATACTTCTAGTGCACTCAGATAAGCCCCTATCCTTTGATTTGTACTTAAATAAGCTCCTATGTCAAATGAAAATGTGATTTTTATCAAGTGTTAATTGAGGAATAAATTAAAAACGTTAATGAACTTATTTGGGAAAAGGTTAAAAATTAGGGGCTTATTGGATACAAATTACATTCTTATTTGGATGTAATAAAATTATAAGAGCTTTTATATTAAAGTGGTAGAGTTGAAGGACCTCTTTAGTATTTTAGCAGAAAACATACCATCAGCACTACATAGGTATGAAGTTAAGAAACTGACCGCATAAAATGCCCTCCAAAATCAATGAGGCTACCATGTTAAATAATTAAAACCAAGCGAAACATCCAACACAAAAATGCACCATTTATTGAAAACAGTGAAGTTATTAGAAATCAAATATGGTTAGCGGGCATGTCTGTGAAAAGTTAGAACAAATTACAAATAGAATCCCACCATTATCAGCGTAATGTATAATTTTCATATCAAACTCTAAGCAACAATTTGGATTTTAGAAAGCACTTGACAAGAAAGTTTTTGATGCTTTAAGAAAGTTCAGACTTCTCCTTCTCCTTTACCTCAAAATGTTAAGATAGGGATTAAAAAAGTATAACCTAAAAAATTAAGTATTTATCTCTTCCTTCATAATTATCAATTACAGTCTTTGTAGATAATGACCCAGTTGTAAACTCAAATTGTAGCTCTAATTCTGTGACTCTAACTGGTGACATTTTACAAATATTTGATAAAGAAAAAGATGGTTCTGAAGGCATAACATTTGATAGTTGAGATTTGAGAACTTCCAAGACATAATGCATATATTTCATCACTTTAACCAATACTTACCTATTAAATTCACATAAATTACAAGTCATTTGTTGACCAAATGCTGTGAGGTCCTAAGGCTCTAAAAGAGCATCATAACATGTATGACAATTAGGGGTGTTCGCGGTCGGTTTTGATCGGTTTTTGGCTAAAAATTCATCAGATCCAAAAGTATAAATGTTTGCGGTTTGGATCGGTTTGGATGTTTCTAAAAAAATCCGATCCTATCCGATCCAATTAAGTGCGGTTTGATTCGGTTTGGATTTGTGCGGTTTTTGGATTCTAATTTTTCAAAATAATTCAAAGCAACAACATTGCCTAAGGGGGTCAAACAGTTTCACCATTTCACATCCTAAGCTGACATCGATCGAATAAACCACCGTTGATGAACACAATACTTTAAAATCCTTGCATTTAGAATCTGTAAATCGGCATAACAGTAGGTAAAAGAATCTACTGCATTTTCAATAATCTGGTTACAGCTTTAGGGACCTACATTATATATATTCAAGAGTATTAATAGGAAAGTCAACTATACAAGAAATATGGAAACACTTATAAGTTAGCCTATAAATTTGGCACAAATCTGTAAACAATCTGTCCATATCAAACAAGGTAAATACTAGAAATGGTAAGTCAACTAACATAATTAATCGCAATTGTTCATGGAAAACTGTTTTCTAGGCTCTTGCAGCAACATTTTAGAACATAGGAACTTGAAACGGTGTCGCACTTCATTGTAATAGATATCGGTTCGGTTTGGATCGGTTCAGGATTTCCAAACCGAAACCGAACCGATCTGTTTTAAAAAA